CTCGGTGCTCGGGCGGGTCCCAGTGGCCGCTCCCTCCGCCCCCGAAATTGCTGCTACCGCCTGACTGCACCTCAGCCCGACAGCTCAGACGCGGCCGCACCTCCCTGGACTGTAGAGGCGGCAGCGAGCTAGAGCCCGTGTCGCAGCTCCGGGCCACAGAAAGGCCGGGCGAGCTCGAGCGCAAAGGGACACCTGGACAAGGCACGCGGGCAGCTCTGCGCGCGGCTAGTACGTACCTGGTGGAGGGGCAGCGGGAGTGGGCGACGCTGGTGCAAGGATGGAGAGAAAGGACTGAGCCAGAGAAACTGGTAAGTGCAACTTTCCCCATTTTCCGCCCTGTCTGCACAAGCAATCAGAGGAATTCAAAACAGATTCCCGTTTTGCTAGGGTGACCACATCGTTCGCACGCAAACTAGTGTCCCTTTAGAGTGAAAAGGGGCGCCAGGTCAGCAGGCCTAACTAGAGAGGACTGGTCATCTGCTTTTTGCCCACTCTACCTGAGAGTTGGACATTGGTGACCTCCTGTCGTAAGGAGGCTGAGCCCTTCGCCTCTCACGCAGGGTATGCCACGTCGTTTTCCTCGGGCTGGCTTTCCGAGTCCCACGCACCCGCTCGCGGCCACTAGATCAACAGAGACCTGAGTTCTCACAGGCTCTGTCAGCCTCAAGCTGCGTGCCTTTAGCAGATGACCTCGCCTCACAAGTCTCCGTCCAGTCTTTAATAAAATCTAAGGATGATTAGAACGGGCGATCCCAAGGGTCCCTGTCAGCTATTGAATTTTACTGCCCCCTAGACCCCAGGCAGCGCCAGAGGGAGATCCGAATATAATGTAGTCGCAGGGGCTTAGCGGTTGGAGGGCGTGCGTCCTGACTGTTACTGCTGCTGTAACCCCTTGGGGAAGCTCCTGAAAATGACTTGGGGGTGGTGGAGGGCGGATGAATCTTTTACCAGCTGCCACAGCTAGGGCTGGCAAGTCCCTAATGAGCGAGGGTGGGAAGGACCCGCTAGTCCTATCTTAGAGCTCATCGTAGGGAGCGCAGCCAGACTCGGTTCTTTCTGGAAAGCGTTTGGCTTGAGTGGGGCACACGGGGAACACTTTAAAAAAAAAAAAACAAAAACCCCCAAACAGCAGGTGGTGTTATTTAGTCAGAGTCTGTGCAGGACTGGAAAGTGGAGATTCAATGCTGTAGACCACTTAAATATACACATAGAGAGAGAGGAAAAAAAAACGAAAACACTCCTTAATGGTTTGGATACTGAAAAAGTTTGTATTAGAATTACTTTGAATCTTGCATTTCTCTTTGTGTACATATAGATTCGAAATCCATCTGTCGACTTTGTCTCTTCACAAGATGTCTCTCTTCTTATTGACATCGCTACACATTAAAAAATTATTCTGGGAATTAATATTGAGAAAGCTCAGAATTTGGATTATTAAAATGAGATCTAATGGTCAAAAGGCTCATAGGAAGTACTGTAATGTGGTAGGTTCTGGATCAGGTTTGGTTAGACCAGCATTTTGAAAACCGTCTTTTGTTTCCTGATAGTGTTTCCCCTGCTGGTCAACACTCCTCTACTGACACTATCTCACAAGAGTTCATTTTCTAAAAAGATGTTCTGGAAAATCAAATGATTCGATTCTGAAGCAAAGTGTACTTCAGAAAAAAAATTTTTTTTTTACAAAAAGTTTTTGGTAATTGACTTTTAACCACAACTTTCTTCAACAAAATATCAAAGGCTAATGGAATACATTATGCATAATATTTAAAAATGTGTCAAATTTCACTTTATGAAAGAATAATTTTTCCTTGTTAGTCAATATTAAACCAGAAATTAAGATTTTTAGAAATAACCCTTTTCGATGATTTTTAAAGAAATTTTATATTGTGAAACCATTACTATAATTCAATTGTAGAACATTTTCCTCTCTCTAATAAAGATCTCTCATGCTCATTTTCAGTTAATCTCTGTTCTCACTCCCAACTTCAGGCAACCACTAATCTACTTTCAGTCTCTACAGCTTTGCCTTTTCTGAACATTGCATATAATGGAATTATAAAATATGTGTTCTTTTATTTATTCATTTTTCTCTTAACATGTTTTTGAGATTCATCCATGTTGTAACATGTATCAGTACTTCATTCCTCTTTATTACTGAATAGTTTTCCCTTTCATGGATATACCACATTTTGTTTATATGTTCACCAGTGGATGGACATTTGAATTGTTTTTAATTTGAGGCTATTATGAATGATGGCACTAAGAATATTCACATGCAAGTCTTTGTGATTACATGTGTTTTCGTTTTTCTTGGGTAGATATTTAACAGTAGAGTTGTTGGGTTGTAATGGTAAACTTGTGTAACTTTTTAAAAGCGTTATAGAATGATTTTTATGTAGAAGTTATATACTTACAAAATATAGAAAATTCTGGAGAAATAAATGTTTCATACTGGATCATATATGATTTGATATATATGTAAAGAGAAGTTTGGGAGAGGAAACACTTTGCTTACTTTCAAGTTTAGAACTTAAATCAGCAATTTTTTAAAAAATGTAATATTTGCAGAAGTAATTTTAGATTCATAGCAAAACCAAAATGAAGATACAGATGTCCATATAACTCCATATAACACATGCATAGCTTCCCCCACTATCAATATCACTCACCAAAGTGGTGCGTTTGTTACGAAGAATGAACCTACAATGAATAGTGTACCTTAAGGTTCACTCTTGTTGTTGTACAGTCTCTGGGTTTGAACAAATATATAATAACATGTTTTCATCATTATAATATCATACAGAGTATTTTCACTGTTCTAAAAATTCTCTGTGCTCTGCCTATTTACTTCTCCCCCATTGTCTTTTTTTAATTCTAAATGAGAGTAAATTATGCTTATTTAACACTAAATTTCATTCGATGTCCATTGAAAATGAGAAAGTAATTTGAAAACTGTATTTTAAAATGTTGACCTGAATGGCTTGACGGTAAAAGCAGTGGTTTTCCATTCTTTCAACAGAAAATTTTAACTGAGTTAGAAAAAAATTATTACCTCCTGAATATAAAAAAAATGTACTATAAATCCTATGATTAAAATAAACTTCTTTAATAGTTATGAAACTAATTCTTTTAAATAAAAATTAAACTATTCTATTTGTAGATGTAGGTATCTAAAGCTCAAGAATAAATGATTTACATGTACAAAAATTACGTACTAGGGATAAATCTAGGATTTCTGTCTCCTGTTTTAAAACTTCTACCATTTTTATGTTGAATTTTTATGTAGTACATGCTCTTCGGAATCCTGTTAGTCTCAGAAATTTTCATATTAATATGCTCTATGTACTTTTTATAGGTCATTATAGGTTACTGACATTACAGAAAAAGAACTTCAGACTAAGCATTTGAACATACCCAGACAACAAAAAGTATTCGTTATTATTTTTTCTTTTTATTTGACGTATAATTGATTTTGAGAAATCAAATAGGTAATCTACTTAACTCAAGTGAGATCAACTTTTTATTCTAACTCTCAATGCCAAATAGCAACTTTATGCATCTGCTCAGGAATTGTGCATGCTATGGACTTTATAAATCAGAGTGGATTTGTGTCCTCCAGTCACTTCTATTCTTAAAATATCATGCTGTCCAAGAGTTGGGTGTTTGGTTGGAGAAGCTCAGAGCTGTCTAAATAAGAATAAAGCAATTTGGATTTGTATATATTCCTGATAAGGAAGAAGTAATCTCACCTAGAATCCTGAATCAGTTAGAACAGGATTTTGCAGACTGGACAGAGGGCCAAGGGAATGGACACATTTAGTTTATGTAGTCTGGATCCAAGACAGCTTGGACACTTGTTTGGGAGATCAGCAGCAGGAGCATTTACAGACAGGATAAATGAAGCTAAATGCCTTCCTCTATCTCTTGGGTTCTTCTTTTTCATAGTCCCTACTTCCTGCTAAGCCTTAAGATTTACTATGCTAATGAAAAAAAAATCCTCATTTCGGATTGTGGAAATCAGCATGGTAAACTGTAGGTTTTCAGTGTTGGGGTAAAGTAAAAGAGGAAACTGAGGTCCAATGCAGTAGTTTCAGAAATAAAACCATGAAAGACGAGAGTTAAGCCATCTTTCCAAGCATGCTTATATTTAAATGACTATAAAATAATTTACTTCTAGACTAATTTAATGGATGGGTTAAGCTGTCTAGAAAAAAAAACTTATTTGTAAAATCAGTGTGTGTGTGTGTAAATAAGAATGGCTTAAGTTTCATGCAATTACATTAGTTTATTATGTTCGTTTATTTTAAAAATGAGAATAAGTAGTTCTATCATGGAGCCTCTGGAGCCAGTATAATTTTAAATCTCAAAACGCCGACATAAGCCCCTCTTGGCATCCTTTTCCAAAGAGACATTGAAATGTAATAAAAAGCTAGATCATAGATATCATAGATTTGTCACACTCTGAAGATTTGTAAAGAATCTATCAAACCAAAGGATGTGACAAAGGCCAAGGCTTCCACGAAAACCACCCTGCCTCTCACTTCCTCCAATCCTGCAGAAGAATGTCTATCATAATTGTGTGCATTGCTGTCAAGAAGCAGAATTTTTCATAGTTTTAAAGTTACAAAAAATAAAAACAACTCTGCATCTTTCTAACATACCAAGAATCTGTTTGTATGTATCTATACCTACTCTAGTAGCTCTAAGAAGGTTGGATTGGTGGGGTATTGGACAAATTATTGTAGTAGGCCAATCAAGAGATTCTAAAGAGTGAGTCAAGAATTATGGATGGAGAATTAGAGATGAACAAGCGTATTCAATGTCTAGAAATATTAGAAGCAAAGTTGGTCAGATTTGATGATAGTTGAGTTATAAAGTTAGGGAGAAGTAGGAATGAAGAGTGCTTGTCGGATTCCTGGCTTCAGTTTGAGGGCTAGCACTATTTACAAAGATGGAAATACAAGGTTCGGTGCATTTACTGGGTTGGATAATGTCTTCTCAAAATTAGTGTACCTCCTGGCACCTCACAATATGACCTTATATAGAAATAGGGTTATTGCAGTCGTAATTAGTTAAGATGAAGTCATACTGGAATACAATTGGCCTTTAACCTGATATTTCCGGTGTCCTTATAAGAAGAGGAAAAAAGACACAGAGACATAGAAGGAAGACAAACATGTTATAGTGGAGGTAGAGACTTGAGTTATGCAGCTGCAAGGATTCCAAGATTTGCCAGCCACTACCAGAAGCTAGGAATGGGGTGCGGAATGGATTCTGTTTCTGAGTCCTTCAGAAGAACCAATTCTCT